AACATAGATATCTGGTAGCTGGAGATATTCCTTATGTTGAGGATAATTCAGATGATTCAAGAGATATTCCTCTCGTCAATACTGATGCTGATTTTGTCCCTGATCCAAGGGCTCTGACAGACACCAGTTCACAGAACCGGACAAGACTCCCTACACTGGCTGCCGCTTGTGACCGATACTTGATTAGTGATTGTGCTGGAGCTGCCATTGCTACTGCCACCTTAACTGACTATGGCATTATCACAAAGGATGACAAGAGTCAGGTTATTGGACCACATAAGCTGCGGGATGCGAGACAAAAATACCGATTTAAGAGGCAAGAAATTGAGATGGCTAGTTTAGATAATTTGACGTCACTCTATTTTGATGGTAAGAAGACCGCCACTCGTGTGATGATAAAGAATGAGAAGACCGAGAAATGGAGTTCGAGGATGATGGTGAAAGATCATTATGTCATCATGGTTGAGCCTGGCAATGAATATCTCACACATGTGACTCCCAAGACTGGACACGGAAAGCAGATTGCCAAAACTATTCACGAGTTTCTGGTGGAGAAAAATCTAACCCAGCAGCCCATTGTGTGTGTTGGTTGTGATGGAACCAATGTAAATGTAGGATCAGAAAATGGAGTCATTCATCATCTTGAAATGTTACTTGGTCACCCGCTCCATTATTTCATATGTCAGCTTCACGGAAATGAGCTGCCTTTCCGCGCAGTTTTTTATCACTATGATGGTAAACCAAGTGGTCCTGAGCATTGGTGTGGTCCCATTGGAAAGCAGATCAAGGAGTCTTTGTCTGAGCTTCCAGTTGTCACCTTCCAGCCAGTCAGTTTCCCTGATTTCCCTGTGTTTAATGATGAAGTGGAGAAAGATCTGTCCTGGGATCAGAAATACCTGTATAGGATTTGTAAAGGAGTTATCACAGGTGTTGTTGAAGATGACTTGGCTGCTATTGAGCCAGGTCCTCCCTGTGTGTCAAGGTGGAACACCTTATGGAGTAGAATCCTCAGGCTGTATGTAGCAACATCAAGACCCAGCCATGAGTTGAAAAGAATTGTCATTACAATAATAAAGTTCAGTGCTCCAATGTGGTTTTACATCAAGATACACCCTTACGTAACACACGGCTCAAGGAACGTATTCCAGTCCCTGCTATATATGAAACACCTGAATAGTGAGGAGGAGACGATAGTGAAGAAGGCTGTCCAGAGAAATGCATACTTCGCCCACACAGATCAACTTCTTCTTGGTATGTGTGCAGATGAGGACATGACTGTTAGAGAAAAAGCTGTCTCAATGATAAGAAAAATTAGAGAGGAGAATCAGCAAAAGGAAGAATGCACTGGCAGATCTGAAGAGGAGGAGGAAGATTCTGATGCTGCTGTTGACGAGAATTTGTTAAACTATACTGATGAGGAGGGTAAAGATGGAGATGGGAATGAGGATGTGCCTCCTGTAGTCAACATGAGAAAGGTGGTGACTCCGAAACTAAAGTGGCAAGCAAAAAACTATCATTCCATGATTAACTGGAGGAATGAACTCAAGACTGAGCCTCCTTACATTGCTTCTCTGTCAAATCTACAGGTTAATGACATTCTTGAGACACCATTAGTGGTGCCCAAGTGGCCAAACAGCACTCAGGCGGTCGAGAGAGGCATAAAAGTGATGACTGAAGCTTGCACTGAAGTGACGGGATACGAATCGAGAGATGGATATATTAGGCAAAGATTATTGTCTAGGAAAATGATGCCAAGGTTCCGCACAAAAAAGAATTTCAATATGAACTTGTAATGATTTTCTATACGGTGTACCTGTAAAATAACATGTGAATTAAATCGATGTCACCCATGTAAAATTTATCATTATCCTGGAAAACATTAAATGACACCTAATTTTTGGTATACACTAAAAGTTGACAAAAAGTCGTTCGCGATGCGGCAGGGTAAGTATGCATGAAATGGCATGAAATTTTGCACAGGTGTTTGTTACAGCCATACAAACGATGCCTGAAAAGTGCAGCCTGCAACTCAAATAAAAGTGTTTTTTCCCTGCCCCCCTAATGTGCATAACCATGGTCTTGGTATGGTTGATGGTGACATGGTTGTTGGTGGCCCAGTTTTGGAGACTGTTCAATAAATCCTGAAGGGCGGTATAGTTGGGAGCAGAATTGTTAACGCTGATCCCAATGGTGGAGTCGTCGACATATTTCCAGCGAGCAGGGGTTTCTCTTAGGGCATCATTGATGAGCATAAGGAAGCAGAGTGGTCCCATCTTGGTGCCTTGGGGGACGCCACAGGTGAGTGACTGAAAGGTGGAGACAGCCCCTCGGAAGCGTACAGCTTGGCGTCGGTCACTGAGGAAGTCTGTAAGCCATGGTATAAAACTTCTCCGAAGCCCGAGGTCAATAGCTTTGTTGATGATTATATTGTGGTCGACTAGGTCGAATGCTATAGTGAAATCAATGAAGGCGACAGCTACAGACGTTTTTCGTTTCTCGAGATGGCGGTATATGTAATCGAGAAAGCTGACAAGACAGTGAGTGGTGGAGGAAGTTTTCATGTTGCCAAATTGCTGAGGGTCTACGACTCCTGCAATATCAGCATAAGCCCAGTCGAACACAAAACTTTCACAGATTAGGCTTCGTATTGGGGTGATTGCAATAGGTCGTAGCTGATTTAAGGATTGTGGGCTGGTTGACTTGGGCACTGGTGATACATAAGAGGTCTTCCAGTCAGCTGGGCACCTGGCTTGACTGAGAGAAGCATTGATGATGGAGCATAGGGGTTTAGCAAGCTCCGGGGAGAACTCCTTGAAGGTGTTTCATTGGTAAGTCAATGGGGGTGGTAGAGCGTTTTAATTTTAGTTTGTCCAGGTGTTTTGCTACTTCAAATTCTTCTACTAAGTCAGTGGGAAGGGGGGCTGGTAGGTAAGCAGGGAGAGTGGTTGTGTCAAGCCGGGGGGAGCGTCTGGCATATAGTAGTGAAATGGTTATTTGTTTGCTCAGCTGCGTCAACATTAGTGAGATGGCTAAGGAAGGGGAGGGGGTGTGTCTTATTGTTTAGTCCATAGAGTTCTTTAAGCTTACCATACCATTGACTGATGTTGGTCTGCTTCAGGTGTTGTAATTTGGTTGGGTTGTGGGACTTCTTTGCAGTGCGTAATTCGCGGATGACTCGGTTGCGAAGGGACCTGTAGCGGATGTGGTCATTGAGATGAAAGGCTCTGTCTCTCTGTTGCATAAGTCTTTTGATCCGAGGTGTGATCCAGGACAAGTCAGCTGGGTGAGATATGACGGACTTCTCGGGGAAGAAGTGGTGGTGAGCTTCCGTGGTGGTGTTGGTATAATTTATCCATTTGGTATCCACGTCATCCGCGCTAAGTACTTCAGTCCAGGGATGGTGAACTATCCACTGCCCGAAGAGGCGCACTGCAGAGTCAGTAATCGGCCTGTAGATCTTGATGTAGGGTCTCTGTACTTGAGTGGGAGTGGCAGCTGGGGACCAGAGCACTGATAAGTGTGTGCTACACCCGATAGGAGGCATTGGTTGAGGTGGTTGGTACTGGTCCGCTAAGTCAGTTAAGATAAGGTCAAGGGTGTTTTGACCGTTTGTGGGGAAGATCACAACTTGTGATAGTGATAGCTGGTCCTGGATATCAGCGGTGTCAATTTCGTTAAAATCCCCACATAATACTAACTTGGCACATGGGTACCTAACTCTGAGGTGGTCTGAGGTGGTAATGAGATGATTAATAAGAGTGTCTCTGGTGGGTGAGCGAGGCGGATGGTATGCCACACAGATTATGATGGAAGCAGTGTTGCGCGGGTGGGCCCGTGGCACAACACGTACCCATAATGCTTCCACATCTGCTGGGACTTGGACATCCAGGCGTGACGGGCGTAGGTCATCTTGACAGAAGAGGGCAACGCCCCCTCCGCGTCTATGTGAACGAAGGTGATGAAAGAGTTGATATCCCTCAATATGACACGTTTCAGGCACAATTTGCCAAGCCTCACATATGGCAACGATGCTCGCGGCGGCTGACCTGACTGTAGTTGCCAGCTCGTCGAACTTGTTAGCTAGGGAAGTGACGTTGGATAGCAGTAAAGACGGGAGATCATACCATATCCGTGGAACTTCAGTGTGGTGGTATGGTCTGTCAGGGGTGGGTTTCTCCGGTTTCCTAGTGGAGGGTACGGTTCTAATGGGCTTATGTGTATGAGTTCTGCTATAACGCGTGTTTTGATAACGCAAATTTGCTCTAACGCGATTTATGAATAGAGGAACGATATTTGTATAACGCGAACGCTTGTTTGCTGTAACGCGATTTTTGCTTACTATTTCTCCAATTTTGTGGTATTAACTGTGAATATGGTAAAGAAGAATATCTCCAAGAAGCGTTCTGGTGATAGAATTCCCGGTGATGATCGTAAAAGAAAGGATATAACACTTGAAGAGAAGCTCGATGTTATCAACCTCAAAATCACCCTTCTCCCCCATCAAGTTACATTCATATTTTTTCAAGGTAAAGTGTTACATTTACTGTATGATTTCATTATTAGATATGAATGTAACATTTATTTAGACTGTGCTATCCTTTGTGTTAGGCTAACTACTAAATTTTTTCGATTTCGAGTAATCTGCACCTAACCCTATTTTCTCCATAAGCCCTGTTATTTCTATTACGCGATTTTCTATAACACGATATTTTACAAGAACACAATTATCGCATAATAGCAGAACTACCTGTAGTGGAGAAGACTGAGAGTTGTTTTATTTCTATTACGGCTGGATCGAAAACTCTGCCCTCACTCACTGAGTGTCTTGCTAACATCCTAATTATTCTTCCTTGTAGAGAACAGAGAAGGTAAATGCAATATTACAAGACTGAACAGATAGTTAATGAGTAGGGGTTCAAGTGATCAAGACAAAGGAAAGGTAGAGGATTCATTTTGTGAGTCAGGTCTTATATCTTGTTTATAATTTTTCCCACTTTCAGGTTTTGTAGAGAATATTTCTCTGAGCTGGTGCAGTTGTCACCTTCTGAACTCTGCTGACAACCTCAGCCAACGTGTCAGGTCCAGCGGTGTCAGCACAAGAGTGAAAGTATCAAGTCACCTTTTCTACAGTCCTTCATGTCACTATTACCGAATATCACCATCAGCATCCAGGACATTGAACAGTGTTGTGTTATTTGGTTCATCCCAGTACCAGAACCATAAGATATTCTCAATAAATATTTTATGGCAGTGAAGTAAAAGTGAATTAACACTTTAGTGATGTCATGAGATACAACTGTAAAAGACAAGTAACCAAAAAATACTTTACTCACAGTTTGTGCAACTGTATTATTTATATGTTTATCCATTTATCTGTCAGTCTTAATTCATTCCCAGTTAACTCAGATGAACATTTTAATTTAAAACATTTGTTTAATGATTTCATGAAAGGAGCAAAAATTACAAGATTCCACTCTGTTTATGGCCATATTCCACTCACTCATAGGTTAGCAGGTTGGTTTTCATATTCATGTGTGTGTGTTGTAGATGAATGTTCAACATTGGGTAGTGTATAAGTTATCATAGGAAGCTTTTTCATCAGGGAAAGTATTTTAAGAACTTAATTAAGGGGTTCAGTGAGGCCAAGTATTTCAAAAGTACACTAAGAGGGCCACGTGAGAGACCACAAGTCCAAGATGTTTTGGTAAAAGAAACAATGAATATGGAAGGTAACACAGAAACCCCCCTTCAGCGTTTACAGTGTCAGGAAGATTTTAAAAGAGACTGTCTTGGAAAGCATGTGAGAAATCACCCATCAAAAACACCTTTTAACACTGAAGAGGAACTGTTTCATTGTTCTGAATGTAATCGTTCTTTTAAATGGAAAGGTAGGTTAGTACAACATATGAGAACTCACACAAGAGAGAAGTTCCAATGTTCTGAATGTAACAGTTCTTTTATTCAGAAAGTGAGTTTAGTGCAACATATGAGGGTTCACACTGGAGAGAAGTTCCAATGTTCAGAATGTAACAGTTCTTTTATTCAGAAAGTGAGTTTAATACAACATATGAGGGTTCACACAGGAGAGAAGTTCCAGTGTTCAGATTGTATTAGTTCATTTACTCGAAAATCTGATTTAGTACGACATATAAGGATTCACACAGGAGAGAAGTTCCAGTGTTCAGAATGTAACAGTTCCTTTACTCGAAACTCTGACTTAGTACGACATATGAGGATTCACACTGGAGAGAAGTTCCAGTGTTTGTTATGTAATTGTTCATATAGTAAGAAATTTATTTTAGTAGAACATATGAGGATTCACACAGGAGAGAAGTTCCAGTGTTCAGAATGTAACAGTTCTTTTATTCAGAAAGCGAGTTTAATACAACATATGAGGGTTCACACAGGAAAGATGTTCCAGTGTTCAGAATGTATTAGTTCATTTACTCGAAAATCTGATTTAGTACGACATATAAGGGCTCACACAGGAGAGAAGTTCCAGTGTTCAGAATGTAATTGTTCATATAATCAAAAATTTAAATTAATACAACATATGATCATTCACACAGGCGAGAATCCATATCAATGTACAAAGTGTAATCAATCCTTCACACGGAAGATCCAAATGGTAAGCCACATGAGAGTTCACACAGAAAAATTTCTTTGTTGTGATTGTAAAAAATGTTTTCCCAGTAAAGCGAGTCTCACAATGCACAGTAAAACTCATCTGACTTCTTACAGTAAAGATCATGCAAAGGTTAAACCTCTTAAATGCCACAAAAAATGTGACAATAAACAAAGGTTGAAAAAATGTGGTGAGAAGTCAGGGAGCGGGACAACACTCACTCAGAGAGACCACCACCTTGGTGCTGTTGGGAGCCACCCAGCCAAAAACCAACCTGGTAATGACCTGAACAGTCCAGAGCTGAGCCACAATAATTGTCAGGAACTGTTCACTTCCTGTCATAGTAAAGATGAGTATAGCCTCTCTTACCAGTGTAAGACAAAGGCTGTGTGTAAACTTGCAGTGAGCGGATCAACACATTTCACAGACTGGTCAAGGGAAGGAGTGAAAGAGGAACCTGTTGATAGTCAACCTTCTGCCTTAGGTATATCAGAAGATTCACTTAAATTGGAAATGGTTCCTCCCTCATCTATAAAACTAGAGAACCTTAAGGAGGAATTTGATTTTGTTGAAGAAGAATTCTGAAGCCTTAATAACATAGTGTATGTAATGCAAGCTTCTGTGTGTTTATATTAATAAATACAGTCGACCCTCGTTAATTCGGACCCCTTTAATCCGGATTTCGGATAATTCGGTCAAAATCTGAACGAACTTTTTTTTTTTTTTTAAAGATTTGTTAGGAATATTACCTATGCGTACCTTAAGCTAAAATGCTGGTCCACCGACTGCTGGGATAAAACACCAGCGTCTTTTTGGTCAACTGTAACATCACCACTAGTGTGGGGGGGGATGCAACTTTTAGCTTCAGACATGAAAAATATTTACCATTTACTGCCAGTAAACAATGGAAACGTAAAATTTTTACCAATTAGTAATGAAAAGTTGTGCAGTTCCTTCAGCAAATGAAGCTCACCAACTTACAATAGGCTAAATTACCTTACAACGTGTTTTCAGTAGTCTATGTTGAAGTTCTTAGCACAGGCTAACTTATCATATCATATATACGGTATCACAGTTCTCATTGATCTACAAAAAATACCGGTAATAAAAACCTTTTTGATATTTCACACTTAATATAATACCCGGTAATCTACTTCAACCTCCTATTGTTTACAACGACACATGACGCACCACCAGCTGTTGAGTATCAGCTACACGGTACACGTGTTTTTCGAATCGTTTTCAGTTAAAAAACTGTTACATCACATGTATATTTTACCTTAACTGTGCCTGAATGAATATATTCTCGGAAATAAATAGTAGTTTTGCTGAAACGTGATGTATTTTAATGTAAAATAGGATAAAATACATGACGAAAACAAAAGACTTTACCTAACCTTCCGATGTTCTAGAGAAGTTACTCGTTTTTTTAATAGTTTTTGGTTAAAATACTGTTATATTACAATGGTATTCTATTCATACTGTGCTTGATATAATGCATTCACGGAAATGTAATATTTTTGCTGAAATGACGTAGGTATTAGTGGAAAGTGGGATAAAATCGTGACGAAAACAATGACTTTCGCTTTCTTTCGTTCAAAAGATGTTACCGTAATCGCTTTTCGATTGGTTTTCAGTTAAAAAACTGTTGTATTACATTAATATCCTATCCTAATTGACTTGAATAAATACTACGATACCATATTTCTGAATATTTTCATTAAAATCCATCCAAATCATTTTCCTTGTCATCGTCTGCAGCACCAAACAGCTTCTCCCAGTCCTCTCCTTGAACAGGGCTAGAGGGTACGTGTTTTTCGAATCGTTTTCAGTTAAAAAACTGTTACATCACACGTATATTTTACCTAAACTGCGCCTGAATGAATATATTCTCGGAAATAAATAGTAGTTTTGCTGAAACGTGATGTATTTTAATGTAAAATAGGATAAAATACATGACGAAAACAAAAGACTTTACCTAAGCTTCCGATGTTCTTGAGATGTTATTCGTTTTTTTAATAGTTTTCGGTTAAAATACTGTTATATTACAATGGTATTCTATTCATACTGTGCTTGATATAATACATTCACGGAAATGTAATATTTTTGCTGAAATTACGTACGTATTACAGTGGAAAGTGGGATAAAATCGTGACGAAAACAATGACTTTGAAATATAATGCAATATTAACCCCTAAATCGGTTAATTCGGACAATCGGCTAAAACGGACACCCTTCCCCCCTATTAGTCCGAATTAACGAGGGTCGACTGTATATATATATATATATATATATATATATATATATATATATATATATATATATATATATATATATATATATATATATATATATATATATATATATATATATATATATATATATACACACACACACACATTCAAGTAATTGAAGTACTGTACATTCAAATCGCGCGCCATTCAACTCGCGCGCAGCACCGAACACGGGACACCGCCTGCTCCCTCACTCAGTCAGTCTCGCTGTAATCACGCTTGTGTTGACATCAGCATTGTAGTTGCAAAAATATTACATTTCCATGAATGTATTATATCAAGCACAGCATGAATAGAATATCACTAATATAAGAGTATTTTAACCGAAAACTACTAAAAAAACGAGTAACATATCTTGAACATCGGAAGGTTAGGTAAAGTCTTTTGTTTTCATGTAGTTTATCCTAATTTACATTGAAATGCATTACGTTTCAGCAAAACTACTATTTATTTCTGAGAATATGGAAATGTAATATTTTGCTGAAATGACGTACGTATTACAGTGGAAAGTGACGAAAGCAATGACTCGCTTTCTTTCGTTCAAAAGATGTTACCGTAATCGCTTTTCGAATGGTTTTCAGTTAAAAAACTGTTGTATTACAATAATATTCTATCCTAATTCACTTGTGATGCAACAGTTTTTTAACTGAAAACCATTCGAAAAACGATTACGGTAACATCTTTTGAACGAAAGAAAGCGAAAGTCATTGTTTTCGTCACGATTTTATCCCACATTCCACTGTAGTACATACGTCATTTCAGCAAAAATATTACATTTCCGTGAATGTAGTATATCAAGCACAGTATGAATAGAATATCATTGTAATATAACAGTATTTTAACCGAAAACTATTAAAAAAACGAGTAACATCTCTTGAACATTGGAAGGTTAGGTAAAGTCTTTTGTTTTCTTCATGTATTTTATCCTATTTTACATTGAAATACGTCACTTTTCACCAAAACTACTATTTATTTCTGAGAATATATTCATACACGCACAGTTTAGGTTAAATATACATGTGCTGTAACATTTTTTTTAATTAAAAACGATTCGAAAAACACGTACCCTCTAGCCCTGTTCAAGGAGAGGACTGGGAGAAGCTGTTTGGTGCTGCAGACGATGACAAGGAAAATGATTTGGATGGATTTTAATGAAAATATTCAGAAATATGGTATCGTAGTATTTATTCAAGTCAATTAGGATAGAATATTATTGTAATACAACAGTAGTGACGATGTGGAGGAGGCGGAGGGATAGAGCGGGGAGGAGGTGACTGGCGGGAGCAGGGACAAGTGGAGATGCCAGCCAGTACATTATGGGTGTATTAATTGTTTTCATAGCTATTTTTGCATTTTAATATTAAATACTGTCCATTACGTTTCAACAAAACTACTATTTATTTCTGAGAATATGGAAATGTAATATTTTTGCTGAAATGACATACAGTACGTATTACAGTGGAAAGTGGGATAAAATTGTGACGAAAGCAATGACTTTCGCTTTCTTTCGTTCAAAAGATGTTACCGTAATCACTTTTCGAATGGTTTTCAGTTGTAGGATTACAAGGCTAATGATAGGATAGAATATTATTGTAATACAGTACAGTACAACAGTTTTTTAACTGAAAACCATTCAAAAAGCGATTACGGTAAAATCTTTTGAACAACGAAAGAAAGCTTAAGTCATTGTTTTCGTCATGATTTTATCCCACTTTCCACTGTAATATGTACGTCATTTCAGCCAAAATATTACATTTCCATATTTATTTCTGAGAATATATTCATTCAGCCACAGTTAAGGTAAAATATACTTGTGATGTAATATTTTAATGAAAATACGGTATCGTAGTTTTCTTTTGTTTAAAATTTAATTAACAGATTGATGTTTCAAATATAATGAACAAAAATTTATGTACAGTCTCTATAAATAAACTTTAAAAAAATGAATACTTTATGTTTTACATCGCCCTGTGCATACCATACTGTGCATTTGACTACAGTGGTCCCTCGGTTAATGAGCACATTCCGTTCCAGCAGGTTGCTCGTTAACCGAAAACTCGTTAACCGAAACCATTGTTTCAATGGGTTTTTGGGTAATTAGTTCCAGCTCACCGAAAATTGCCTAAAATCAACAAAAGAGGTAGAAAAGTACACTTACTTTGAGGTGTGTATGTAGAAGGCTCCTGGATGATGATGATGATGGGAATTAGAATGGGGGTGGAGGTGAAGGAAGAAGAGAAGTCACCCCATGGCACCATTTCACCCTTAAAATTTTAGTTCTCTTGGTGTATTTGAAGATTATTTTCTTTAAATCAATATTGCACTTCATAATATATTGTTAATATGTAAAATATATTTCAAAATGACCAATAATTTTCTTGGAAACACAGAAAAAAGCGTTTACTTGAAGAGAGTCTCAAGCAAGATGTTACCTCCACGGAAAACAGAGAGAGACTAACGCCTGTCTGGTGTGTTAACAGGCTGGATGGCACGCCAGAAACTAGTTTCTTTACCTTCAATTATGTTCAATAATTGTTAAAATGACTAAAAAAAGTTAATATTAAACTTTTAAAATTATTGAATAGTATAAACTTCTTGATATTTACTAAAATAGTAAGGAATTTAAGCCCTAAAACCGATTAATGTATTGGCGGACTAATACTACAGCTGGTGGACCGCCAAATGCAAGCGAAAACATGTTGAAGTCAGCTCGTAAAAAAACTCGTTAATCGAGGGATTGCTCGTTAACCGAAGTTAAGAATCTTATGGAAGGTAAATCGTGAACCGAAATCTCGTTAATCGAACCATTTGTTAACCGAGGGACCATTGTATCTTGAAAATTTCATAACATTGGCTGTATTAATGTAAAAAAAAAAAGTTTTTAAAATTACCATTATGTTTTTCTTTGTTCATATATCGCATTTACTACAAATATCCAATAAAATAAACCAAGAACTACGAAGAGGGTAATGAAGATCAGTTACTAGACACATCTTCAAATTCCAATATTATTAGTTCATTTTTTCCGCCATCCCTCTCCGGGGTCTATTGCGTTTGAAATTACTGTATGGTTGTTGACATGACAATCCCTGTTAACCGAGGATGTTGATTAAAACTCCAGGCCTTAACCAATGTTGTAAAAAGTACCAGACTTTGTTACTTAACCTGTTGAGCGCCAGCCAATATTAGACGTACAGTCAGTTCTGCTACAATGCGATAGTTGTGTTCTTGTAAAACCTCGCGTTGTAGAAATTTGTGCAATAGAAATAACAAGGCTTCTGGAGAAAATAGGGTTAGGTGCAGATTACTCGAAGTAAAAAAAAAATTAGTTGTTAGCCTAACACCACAAAGGATAGCGGTCTAAATAAATGTACAGTAAATGTAACACTTTACCTTGAAAAAATATGAATATAACTTGATGGGGGAGAAGGGTAATTTTGA